TGACTCCGACACTCACAAGGAAGACGAATAAGTATCTCCATACTCTGAGTGATTATTATCCTCCGAAAGGGGGAATCCTTCCCAGCGCGGAGGCGCCGGGCAATTCCACGCGTGTCCTTCACTGGGCCACGCCGTGCTCTTATACACAAGAGCACTCTCGTACTTTCCCCAAACCATCTTACAGGGCTCCTGGATAGGAGAGCACGCATATACTCGCGCAACCAACGGTAGCGGTCGACGGTCAGTTCGACTGCACCCGAACCAGCCGCTCTCCAACCTCAGGCCGTTCGAAACATTGATCCTTCGAGCCGGATCGGACACCGATCGGACCTACCGCGTGAGTGAGCAGTGCGAGACAAGCTAGTGGCCGTGATTCGGGATGGCATCCGTTGAGGAGCTATTGGGCCTAGTGGAGGTGTAGGCCGACAGGCGGCATCGAATAGGTCGTATCGTTGAAAACGCTCGCAAGTCCCACCAGCTCAAGACGCTCGCTGGGGTGCGGAGATACTGAGGAGCTTTACCTCGCCCAGGAGATTGAACTGCGTACCATACAGGACACGCTGGCGGCTCCCGGCGCGGGAGGCGGAGAGACGGTCTACGCGGTGCCTTCCCAGGCGACCATTCCGGCGGCGCAGTTGCCGCGGGTCCCGATCCCGATCTTCGACGGGACCTTTGATGAGTGGCGCACATTTCGGGACTTATTTCTCTCCCTGGTGGGGGAGAACACCTCCCTTGCGGACGTGCACAAGATGCACTATCTAAAACAACACGTGAAGGGAGAGCCCGAGCGTTTCCTGCGCCATCATCCTGTCACGAGCGCCGGGTACAAGGATGGGGCCGCGCTCTGTGAACGATACGACAACGAAAGGCTACTCGTCCAGCAGTATCTGCACGCCTTTTTCGCATTGACGCCAATGCGGCGCGAGTCCGCGTCCGAACTCCGCCGGGTGTTCGACCGGACATGCGAGATACGCTCGTCACTCACCCAGTTGGGGAGACCCACCGAGCAGTGGGATGATATCTGGGTGTACCGTACCGTCACCGCCTTGGAGGTCGTCACCCGCCGGGACTGGGAGCGGGTCACGAACAAAATCCGACAGCCTGTGCGCTGGAGCACACTAGTGGACTTCCTGAAGGCCAAGCTCCGCGAGTTGGAAGCCGTGGAGAGCAAGTCCCCGACGGCGGGCGGAGCTCGTGATGGCGCCCGGCACCCGGAGCCCCAGCGCCACGCTCGCGCGCACAACGTGCAGGCCTCAAACAGCAAGGGTCGCTGCGCCCACTGCTCCCGGCCACACCCTCTCTGGGATTGCGGGGCGTTCCGGGGCCTGCCGTCGGAGGAGCGTCGCCGACGAGTCGCCGAGTGGGATCGATGCTTCAACTGCCTCGCCGAGGGCCACCGGCGTAGCAAGTGCCTATCCGCCCGCCGCTGCAAAGAATGCGGCGAGGACCACCACACGCTCCTTCATCCGGAGCGGCACACGTCCACGAAACCGGAGACAGCGGCTGCCGTGACGGCGATGCAGGCCGTCTCCCGAAGACCAGCGGGGCGAGCATTACTGGCGACGGCACGGGTGCGGCTCATCGGAGACGACGGACGCACACTCACCGTCCGGGCACTAGTGGATCCCGGCTCAGAGCTGAATCTGATTGCGGAGAGCGCTGCTCAGACGCTCAAGGCGCGACGGCGAGCTGCGCAGGTACGATTGACCGGGGCGATCGACGACCGCGGACGGACGGTGAGGGCAGTCACCTCACTCCAGCTTCACTCGACGGCGGGACCGCAGTTTCAGCAAAGCCTGGAGGCGTTAATAGTACCGCGACTTACAGCCTATAGGCCGACCGTGACGGAGCTCCCGGCGGAGTGGACGCACCTCGCCGGGCTGACCTTGGCGGACAATTATCTAAGCCCGGAGCCCGTGATGGCCGTGTTGGGAGCAGAAGTCTACACCGCCATTGTGTTACCCGACATCCGGCGGGGGCCGTCGGGTGCTCCAATCGCAGACCACACGTCTCGGGTGGATGCTGCTGGGGTCGGCGGCGCCGGAGCGAAGCGCCCGATGGGTCCACTGCAGCACGCTGCGCTGCATGGACGACACGCTTGCCGAGCAGCTTCGGAGATTCTGGGAGTTGGAGGAGCTACCAGAGGCCCCCTCCCTCAACCCCGACGAGGAGGCGTGCGAGCGGCACTTCGCCGCGACTCACACTCGGACGCCGGAAGGCCGATATCAAGTGCGGATACCGCTGAAAATCGGCGCCAAGCCCAGAGACTCCGCAGCACGAGCCTCCTTAATGCGCCTCGAGCGCCGGTTGCAAGGCAATCCCGAACTGAGGAAGGCGTATACGCTCTTCCTGGAGGACTACGAAAAGCAGGGACACTTTCGCCGGGTGGAGGCTGGCGAGAAGGAGAGTCGGTCACCATTCTTCCTTCCGCACCACCCGGTACTCGGGCGGTCCAGTTCGGAGCTGAAAATCCGAGTCGTTTTTAATGCGTCGCAAACCACCGCTACCGGTCCGTCGCTGAACGCGGTGGTCCACGTGGGACCTCGACTCCAGCAGGATTTGGCGAGGGTGCTGCTCCGATGGCGGATGAACCGTGTAGCGTTCATTGCCGACACCGAGCAAATGTACCGGCAAATAGAGGTGCACACCGCCGACCAGCCGTTGCAGTGTATCCTATGGCGCCGGACGCCCGCCGAACCCGTCCAAGAGTACCAACTGCGCACGGTAACGTACGGTACGGCCTGCGCGCCGTATCTGGCCATCCGTGTGCTGCAGCAGTTGGTGGCAGACGACGGCTCTCGGTTTCCTGGGGCAGCGGCGCTCTTACGGCGGTCCACGTACGTGGACGATGTGTTGGCAGACGCCCCCACGGAGGCGGAGACGCTAATCCTGCAGCGGGAGGTGGTTAGACCTCCTCAGGGCAAGCGGGTTTACCTTGCGGAAATGGGCCGCGAATAGTGGACGCGTGTTGAGCTCCGTGCCGGCGGAGAGCCGCATGCCGTTGGTGCCCTTTCGGGACCACGTGGAGCTGGGGACCCCCGTGCTTGGAGTCCAGTGGTTGTCCGGGGAGGACGAGTTACAGGGAACACCTTGATGCGTCCGCAGTCACCACGAAGCAGGGTATTCTGTCCATCATCGCAAAAATGTTCGATCCGCTGGGATGGATCTGCCCCGTATTGATCACCTGGAAAATCCTGCTGCAGGAGCTCTGGATGGCTGGGGTCGGTTGGGACGACCCCCTGCCCGAGGCCTTGAGCGATCGATGGCCGGCTTACCAGCGCGACATCTCCGCCGTCGGGGGTGTTCGACTGCCGCGATGGACGGGGCACACTCCCCGAGCGACCTCGGAGCTACACGGGTTCTGCGACGCCTCCGAACGAGCTTACGCGGCCGTCGTATATCTGGTGGTGAGACCGCCGCGCGGCCCCAGTCGCTCCTGCCTATTGATGGCCAAGAGCAGAGTGGCCTCGGTGAAACGCGTGACACTGCCTCGTTTGGAGCTCTGCGGGACCCACTTGCTGGCCCGTCTTTTGCAGCTCACCAGGGAGACACTGCAGCCTGCGACCATGACCGCACACTGCTGGTCGGACTCGGCGGTAGCCTTAGCCTGGCATCGCGCTGGGACACGTTCGTGGCAAACCGAGTGGGATCGATCCACGAGCTTCTCCCGTCTGTCCCTTGGAGGCACGTGCCCACAGGAGAAAATCCAGCGGACTGCGCCTCGCGGGGCATGTCCCCGCGTTCCCTGCGGAGCCACGAGTTGTGGTGGCAGGGCCCGGACTGGTTGCAACGGGCGCCTGATCACTGGCCCCGAGAGGACCCTGGGGAGGCCGCGCGCTGCCACCTGGTGCAAAACCGGACGTCCGATGCCGGGGCGCACGCCCACAAGCCCGCTCGCGACTGGGAGGGAGTGACCGCGGCATCCTCTTTTCGGAAGGCGCTTCGAATCCTGGCGTATATTCTGCGCTTCCGGAGCTCCAGGGACGTCGAGGGCTATCACCACGCAGGAGTACCGGCGCGCCGAGGATCGCCTTGTCGCCATCACGCAGCGGGCGTACTTCTCCGAGGAACTAAAACACCTACGGGGCGGACGAGCTGTGCCAGCCTCCAGACGCCTGCGCCAACTCCGGCCCACCATGGACGCGGACGGCCTGCTGCGCGTGGACGGGCGACTGCGATTCGCAGACTTGGACCCGCGCCGAAGGCACCCGATTTTGTTACCACGCGAGGCATGCCTAACGGAAAAATACTTAGCATTCCCTAAATGATCTAAAATATCATTAATATTTGGTAATGGGAAAGAATCTCCTATCGTTAAATCATTTAGTTTTCTGAAATCGACTACTATTCGTAGTTTCGTTTTTTCCGATGCATCAGTTTTCTTCGGTACGACTAGTAAAGGTGCATTCCATTGGCTAGCACTATGTCGTATTACTTTATCGTCTAACATCTCTTTTATTGACTTCTTGTTTGTGTTTTTCGGGTAACCGATACGGTCGTATGTTTACTGGAGCTGCGTCAGCTCGTGTTGTAATTTGATGTTCCACTACTGTTGTATGTGTGAGACTATCTCCTTCTAGAAAAAATATGTCATTGAAATTTTCACATATTTCATGTATTATTTTTCTTTCCTCATTATTTAAATGCTGTAATCGTAACTGTTTCTTTAATGTTTCTGTCCGTGCCAGTTGCTTGCTGTTCTTCTGTTCAGTAAGCAAATTTATTTTTGTTATATCTCCGTAATTTCTTCTATAGTGATATACAGTGTGGCTATTTTCACACTGTTTTCGGTGGTATTTATTATTGTTACAGGGCACGTATGATTGCTTGCTTTTATCAAGCAATTTCCCATAAAAATTCCTGGCAAAATCTTCTCTGCCGGAATAATTTCTTCTTTATTAGAGCTTACTGTAGCCTGTATTATATTCTCGCTATGCGCGGGAAGGTTATATGTTTGAAATGGTAATACTAATGGTATTACTAATGGCAAGTTTTGTCCGGAAACTCTCATAGTTCTTTCCTTATAATCGAACTTGGCATGATATGTTTGTAGGAAATCGATCCCTAGTATTCCTTCATAATCTATGGGGAAATCATCCCTTA